AGCTACATATTACATGGTTTCATACTGTACTTTCAGGCAAAAATCCAGGAATTGGCAGAACATGTCCCCAAAGGTCATATTCCTCGAACAATGACAGTCCATTTCAGGGGAGAACTCACAAGGAAGGTAAGCAATGAATGAATTCCTAGAAATTTCTCCTTATGAAGGACTCTTCCTGAACCTGTAGTTCTGCTGATACCAAGCTTGTTACTGTATTTGTGAAATCATGAATGTGCATCTTGGACAACTTCCAGTACTTCTGTAAATTGAAATCATGGAGTTGTAATATCCCGCGAAGTAGTTTTCTAACCAATTTGGTTGCTTAAAATATATGCCCAAACGAGTGTGCAGATTGTTATTTATAGAACGGAGCCGAATCTGTCTTATTCAGCTGATTGCTGTGTTTTTGGGAAACCCTAAAGTATTTTCAGTGCTTTTCCTGAGAGGACCTGCTTGGCCCGTTAACAAGTGCTGCCTGAGTTAAGGGACTGTTAATCAAAACTGCAAAAGGAGTCAATATTTAACTTATCCTGATTCGTTTTCATTGGATAGCTTCTGCAGTTTTTATACAATATTTTATTAGTCTGACATTGATCTCCTTCCGACCTTGTAGGTATCTCCTGGAGATGTGGTTGAGTTATCAGGGATCTTCCTTCCCATTCCTTACACTGGATTCAGAGCCATGCGGGCTGGTTTAATTGCAGATACGTATTTGGAAGCCATGTCTGTTACCCATTTCAAGAAAAAATATGAGGAGTAAGGCTTGTCTAATCTTAATGAATCAAATGTTTCAACCAGAGACACAAATATTTGTGCAAAACATGGTTCCTTATAATCTTCTCGTTTCTAAATGCAGATATGAACTCAGAGGAGATGAGGAAGAACAGATATTGCGCTTAGCTGAGGATGGTGATATTTACAATAAGTTGGCACGCTCTTTAGCTCCGGAAATTTTTGGACATGAAGATATTAAGAAAGCTCTTCTTCTTCTTCTAGTTGGTGCTCCTCATCGGAAATTAAAGGACGGTATGAAGGTAATGCATGGCCCACAGATTACTTTCATTGCTCCTGTTTCAGGAAAAATAATCCTACTTTTGTCAAGAACTCTCTACTAGGAAAATGATGCTGGGTATTGCTTAATGACTGCTGCAATGAATTCTGGATAACAGTAAATAGAATGATGGTACCTTAATCTTGTGTGCACAGATAATTTCTCAGATTACCTTTTTGCTTTCTGAGGAGAATCTTGAATTTTCTGCTCGCTTAAGGATCTAAAATTGAGTTTTCTTTCGTAAAATGCAGATTAGAGGAGACGTACATCTTTGTTTGATGGGTGATCCAGGTGTTGCAAAAAGTCAGCTTCTTAAGCACATAATTAATGTTGCACCAAGAGGTGTATACACCACTGGCAGAGGAAGCAGTGGAGTTGGTCTAACTGCAGCCGTTCAGAAGGACCCAGTGACATATGAAATGGTTCTCGAAGGTGGAGCATTGGTAAGAATATGGTTTGCTTTCATATGATTCTGTTTTTTATTTTCAAGGGGCAATCCAAAGAATTACGTGTAGAAGATCTGGTAAAGTAAAGTAAACCAATTGAAGATGGGAAATCAGATATGCATGAGCATTGGGTTGTCAAGCTTTGTGGGGTCATAGCCTGATGTTGTTGTCTCAGTTAATTTCTCAGAGTTTATTTTCTCATTACAAGCCGTCAAGGCTCTTATCTTATATTACTTTGTGTCAGGTTTTAGCTGACATGGGTATATGCGCTATTGATGAATTTGACAAGATGGACGAATCTGATCGAACAGCGATACATGAAGTAATGGAGCAGCAGACTGTGAGTATTGCAAAGGCTGGGATTACTACATCTTTGAATGCGAGGACCGCTGTCCTTGCTGCTGCTAATCCAGCATGGTAAACACTTGATACATCTTATATGAGTTGTTTCCTTTTCTTTTTATTTTCTATGCTTTTTCTGTTACACTTTCACATGATATCCTCCACAGTGACGCATGCGTCAGAAATAGAAAAGTTTATTATCATTTGGAATTTTTTTCCTTAGGGGAAGATATGACTTGCGAAGAACACCAGCCGAAAACATCAATCTCCCTCCAGCGCTGTTATCAAGATTTGACCTTCTATGGTTGATCTTAGATAGAGCGGATATGGATGCTGATCTTGAAATGGCTAGGCATGTTGTATATGTCCACCAGAACAAAGAGTCTCCTGCTCTTGGATTTACTCCACTTGAACCATCTGTCCTGCGGTAACATTAAACCTTGTACTTTTGGTTTAAAACTGGACATTTTGGGATGGGATTTCCTAGTTTAGCCTGGTCATAATGTACTGAATGAAAAATATGAGAGACCATTTTTCTAACTTCAACATGATTTGCTATGGATTTTTAATAATTGTTACCAGGGCCTATATATCGGCGGCAAGAAAACTGTCTCCTTCTGTCCCAAGGGAGTTGGAGGAGTATATAGCTACTGCATATTCCAGTATAAGGCAAGAGGAGGCAAAATCAAATACACCCCATTCGTATACCACTGTTAGAACCCTGCTCAGCATTCTCAGAATATCAGCTGTAAGTGGAGTGGCTAGATACTTTTTTATTTTTATTTTTGTTGGGGTTCTGAGGTGGCAAATTGTAGATGGCATGCTATATATTCCATTCTAATAACTGTCTGATTGACATGTAAACTCTCTCTCTCTTTCTGTTTATTGTTTGTTTATTTATTTATGTTTTAGGCACTGGCTAGACTTCGGTTCTCCGACACTGTTGCCCAGAGTGATGTGGACGAGGCCCTAAGATTAATGCAAATGTCAAAGTTCTCTTTGTATTCAGATGATCGCCGAAGATCAGGCTTGGATGCAATCTCAGATATATATTCAATCTTACGTGATGAAGCTGCAAGGGCAAACAGGATGGATATAAGCTATGCCCATGCCCTTAACTGGATTTCTCGAAAGGTTAGCATGCGAAAGCTTAATACTTTTAAATTTAGCGAGGATTTCCCTGGAAACCAAGCGAAACTGGGAAAGCATAACTAACACTTAATGATTTGTTGTGTTTCTTCGACCTTTTTTTTACCATGACAGTTTAGTACCCTGTGCCCTGATGTGAGCTGTCTTTGTTGTTATAATATACCAGGGATACAGTGAAGGCCAATTGAAAGAATGTTTGGAAGAATATGCAGCCTTGAACGTGTGGCAGATCCACCCGAACACGTTTGATATCCGATTCATAGATGCCTGATCCTGATCCTGCTTCAGGAATTTGCATTACTGACTGTAGGTGCAAGTCTAGTCGAAATTGATAACGTTCGGGAGTGGGGACTAATGGGTCAGCGTGTTAATATTGTGTGTGTTGTCATGATTGGAAGTCTAAACCTGTACCCACTCCTTTTTTTCTCTTAATGTAGCGAGTAAAGCTTTTAGCTGAGACTCCCAGCTTCTGCTACTGTTGAGATGAGATTATTATTTCATTATACGGAGTAGTTGGGATGGGATGTGGAGGCCATTCGCCGGTGACTGAGTGAGTGCATTCTGTCTTCTTTTTTTTTTTTGGAAGGGGAGTGCATTCTGTCTTACGACCACGGACTGCCACAGCTCGAACTCATTCTCCTGTTTTACCAAATTCTGCATGACTTGACTTGCTGCTTTATTATTGTCATTTTTTTTTAAAAAAAAATGTTCATAAGAAAGCTAATCCATCATGTTTTGTTGTTGTTTCCTACGACTTTTTTTTTTCTTTTATTCTTGCCTGGATATGTAGTACTAGTAATTATACAACACAATAATACCCATTGCGGATGACGTTTGCACCATAAATATCACTCCAACCAACTTAACGCATTATTTAGTTGCTGTCACTGTCAAGAAGGATGTTTAAAATCGAACAAGTCTGAACTAACTCTGTATTAGTATGATTTATGAGCATGCGATGAACAGGCGTATTTGTCTTTCGGCCTCATTTTACTGGAAGTACTACTACTACTGTAACTGTTTCATCATTCATGGCGGCCAACAATCAACTAGTAAAAACGTTGATCCAAAGTTATTACTACTACTATCTCTTCTAGTACTGAGGGCACATTATAAAATAAATCAATTTTATATAAATTTTGTTTGTTACATATTATAAAAAATTTTACATGAAATTTTCATCAAAAGAACTTACTTTTGGTTTACATGATGATTATAGTAATTTGGTAGATAAAATAATTAGGGTGTTTTTTATATTAGTGAAATGTGTGATTAGCATAAAAAGTAATTTTTATAAGAGTAAAATTAAAAATTCAAAGATGACAAAAATATTTACACCAAATGCCATTCCTGAGGTATTATATATATTGTATAGATATAGGTTAGTGTATTTAGATCACCCTTAATTTGTTATATGAATTCGTATACTAATAATTATTATTTTATTTTACATTTATATTTTTTTTCTAATCAGCGTTACTTTTCAAAAGTATGAACGCCTGAAATCTATTGAGCACTCGTTGAAGAGACTGTTATTATTATTAAGAAAATATTACTGACACTCTATTTTTTTGTTATTTGTACATAAAATGATATAATTAAAATGAAAACTGTTATATAATTAAAATAATAATGGGAGTGCAAAAGCAGCAAAACTGCAAATGAGAAAAGATGGAAGTGCAAATAACGTTTTTCTTATTACGATTATTTCCAAATAAATCTGAACCCACCTCCCTTTTGCGCCGTCTCTCACGATCTCTCTCTCTCTCTCTCTCTCTCGGGGCAAAAACCCGTATGCTATTTGTTGTATCCATAGAGAGATGGACGGACATAGCTAAAAAAGACGAGGTGAGGAGAGAGGTGTTCACTGCGTTCATCTGAACAAGCTTGTTTTCGGATGCTAAAGAAACACCAATATCAATTCAACCATCTTTTTCTCCCTTTCACCAACTATTCTTGTAGAGAAAGGTATGAGAAATTATTCAACCACAGCATCTTAAGCATCTTCTTCCTCATTTCTTTTCTTTTTTCCTTCTCCAATTTGCCTTATATCAGTAACTCTTCATGAATGGAAATTAGGGTTCTTTGGCTACTGATTTAACTTCTTCTCCCGATATCTTGGATACATTTTGGACAATCTAACTTTCCTTTTTTTTTTTCCCCTCGCCTGTGCTCTTTTCTTTTTCCCTTTTCTTCGTCCTCTTATCATTTATTTCTAGTCTGGGTCGGTGGTTAACTTTACCAGCCTGTCAAAGTAGGTTTTAACTTAAGATTCATGTGTAGCGCATTGGTTGTTTAACTTCAATTTTTGCTTGACGGCAGCTGAATTGTGATTGAGGTATCCATTTGTCTTTCCTGTTTCATCTAGTAAGTTACTGGCACTCTTTTTTTTTTGTTGGTCCTTTTTAATCACTTGAATGATAGTTGAGTTCCTCTGAGCTCGAGGGAAAGATTTATATTGGCCAGTTCCTATGCGTTTGGAATTTCTTAACAGCTGTAGTTTCTACTCCTGCTAATAGTTTAGCACATTCTTTGTTTTGACTAATGCTGCTCATGGATGAAGATGGATAAACTTGAAAAAGGGATGATTAGATTTATATGCAGGGATTGTTTTGTAAGGACGAAGACTGAAACTATGAACGACAATGTTCATATACATATGCAGGTTTAGCAAGCCAATAAGAATTTGTGTCTATATGTTCATATTGGTAGCTTGAATTATCTCATGGTCTACAATGAATTGGGTTTAAAGGTCTTTCATTCTGAAGCTGGGAAAGATAATAGGGTTTAGGGTTGGCTTGTAAGCAGATGATTGACTGTTCAATTTAGGTTATTCCTTTGCTACTCTTAGAAACCATTCAATGAGATGAGAACATCCTTTCTTTTCCTTCACAAGCCTGTACTCTGGTATGGAACTCTTGATCATTACTTTTTTCCTTTAAACTGTTATTTCGAGTACAATGCGCAGACATTGTTTTTTTTTCCTTGAGAAGATTTTAAGTAGATATGTAAGCACCGACTTTCCAACCTTAATTTCTTTTTGGTTCGCTGAAAATGCTACTTTGCTATGACGTGGAGCATGTGAGCACCTGTTAACTGCTAAATTACAAAAACCCTTCATTATTGATTACATGGTATCATTGTTTTGAATTTAATGCTTCTTTAGCTATGAGAAGTTCACATTATGAAAGGCATATTCTTAATGTATTTTTGCTTTTATGGTTCTGCTTATGATAGTGTATGGATTTTCAGAAGTGCCCATCTTGGAGCGACGTGCCTTCTACAAAAATGGCCCCTTTGAATTTTGTTAATAAGGTCCATGCAGTCTCTCGATTGGAAGAGCAGGAGGGTTCTGATAATCATCTTGCTGCAGCGAATGTAGATGTTGACATTAGAGAAGTTTATTTTCTGATTATGCGATTTTTATCAACTGGGCCATGCCAAAAAACTTTTACACAAATTTTAGATGAACTTTTAGAACATGAACTTCTACCAAGGAGATATCATGCTTGGTATTCAAGAAGCGGAGCACAAAGCGGTCACGAAAATGATGATGGCGTATCTTTCCCTTTAAACTATGATAATCTCGTCAAGAGGTAAATGTTCATTGATTGTTTATTGGTAGCCTTTTCTGAATTAGTGTGCAATTGATAGACACTGTTTTTGTGTTGCTTGAAACTTGTATCTCTTTTAGAGATATAGTACGTGATTCATCCAAGATGCTGCTATTGTTCCTTTTTATCATTCTACTACTGTTTGCCATTTCAAGTTATGTCATAATGCATGTTAAAGCCTTACGTTTTTTGGGGGGAGGGGGGGGGGACAAAATATTTATTTCAAATCTTCTAGAAACCATTTCTGATATTGAAATACTGGTGCTGCTGTGGAATTTGGGCCATTGCTGTAAAATTTATTCTTTTTCTTTTTGCCTGCGTTTGTAAAGTTGTATTTGGTAATATACAATTTCTATCCTTGAGCAATTTCTTGGATCTTGAATCAATTGTAAAAGAAGAATAGTACAAAGAAACTCCTGAAGAGAACAGCCACTTTTCCATTCTTTTGATATCTGTTTCGGGAAGGTATAATCTTTGAATTTCTATGACAATTAGGTTTCCTCACATTGAAGATGATCACCTGGTAAAGCTGCTTAGACAACTGATGTTGAACACTTCGACTCCATTACCTTGCATTGTTGGAAGAACTGTTCCAAGTGCTAGTGATGTGCCCACTCTTCTTGGAACTGGCTCCTTTTCTCTTTTATGCAGTATGTAGCTTTCCTGTATTTCTTTCTCTCTCCCTCTGTGTGTGCATGTCTGTTTGTCTCTCTCCCCCTCACACACACACGTGCCATACACACACACGCCCACAAGACTGCAGCACAGATGTGTAAATTCACTTAGTTGATACTGAATTGCATCATTGCTTAGATTTTTTCTCTGCAATAGCTGATAAAGTAAGAATATGTAGAGGGAAATTTTTTGGGCTTGGTAGTTGCTTGTTAAGGATGGTTTTTGGATATCCCTCTATAAGAAACTTGTTGAACTTTAAACCATTATTTCCAATCATTTATTACAATCCTCACTCTTTTGCAGTGTGGGGGCTGATCTCATGTTGAATGATTCCTTGGGTAATATCAAAAGTTTTCATGGACTAGGTGCTGTTTAGTGCTGGCCGAATTTAATGTTGACCGATTTTCTGTACCATGTAAAGATTAAGGGAGAGCACAGAATACAGTAGGATAGAGGTTGAATAGAAATTATGTGGCTTAATATAGTTCCTACTAGTGTTCTTTGTTCCTCGCATATCTTGAGCAGCCATAGGAAGGCTGCCTTAGTAGCTGGTAGCTTGAAATTCCTCGTGTCCATTGCTGGCCCTATATGCACGTTTCTTCGCTATGGTTTCTTGTAGGGCATAATTGTCTATTTCTTCTCTTTAATGTACTTGATAAGTATTTCCAATAAGATATTTGGCCTTTGTTCTGACAATGTGTTTTGCTAGTCTTATAAGTATGTAAAATGTGGCTGTACTGTTTCTACAGGTGATAGAAATAGTGTCAGCAAGCAAGTAAAACATGTTGCTTCTTATCTCCGTTGGCCTCACATGCTGGCAGATCAGGTCCGTGGACTAAGTTTGAGAGAAATTGGGGGTGGTTTTTCAAAACACCATCGGGCTCCATCAGTTCGCTTTGCCTCTTATGCTGTAGCTAAGCCGTCAATGATGGTGCAGAAGATGCAAAATATAAAGAAACTAAGGGGACACAGAGATGCTGTGTATTGTGGTGTGATACCTCTATTCTGATCTTTGCATGAACATCTTATATCTCTTGAAATCATATTGTCTATGAAAATGACGTATTGTTAGGATTTTGAATGTTAAACTTTCACATATTGGCTCCTTTCACTGCTTGTCTCTCCTTCTGAGCTTCTTTAGTATTTTGATGTTAGCAAATAATGCTAATCTATATAAAGCAATTCTATTGACAACTTCTTTGTACTCTAGCAATATTTGATCGCTCTGGAAGATATGTCATTACTGGGTCAGATGATCGTCTTGTCAAGATATGGTCCATGGAAACTGCATTTTGTCTAGCCAGTTGTCGAGGTCATGAAGTAAGTTGGACGATGTGGATGTGAAATACTTTGCTGAAGTTTTTTTGACTCCTGGTTTGCCTTTGATCCAATTATATGTTCTCATAGTGATTTAACTCGTTTGTTTTTCTTATTAAAGGGTGACATAACTGACTTAGCTGTTAGCTCAAACAATATATTAGTAGCATCTGCTTCCAATGACTACAGCATTCGTGTTGTAAGTTTCTTCTCTATTTGAGTGATCTATCTTTGCTCAACAAAGAGATCTGCCATCCTTCACTTTTTTCAAAGTAGTTTGTCTTGTGTACTACAGTGGCGATTGCCAGATGGATTTCCAATTTCAGTTCTGCAAGGACATACAGGAGCTGTTACTGCCATTGCATTCAGTCCCAGGCCTAGCTCTGTCTATCAACTTTTATCGTGAGCCCTTCTGACTGATTTAATCTCTGTTCCTGATTTCTTTTCCATTTTTGATGATTAATCTAATCTCACTTTGGTAGATCCTTGTGATTTTCTTCCTTCAGTTAATACCAGATGCCTTTGGATGCTGTGATAGAGCATCCTCTCTGGTGGATCTTAGATCCTTACTGTTAGTTATAGACAAACCATGCAAACCTCCTAGGAGATGTATTAAACTTTAGGCTCACAAGAACAGGAAAGACTTGCGGGAATTAGGACCTGAATTTAAGTATTGTTGGCTCACATTTCTTAGTGTTTCATTCCAGGCTTTTAAATGGTTGATTTTTATAGATAGTTGTGTCAATTCTTATCCTTAAGAACTGCAATAAGATGTGGATAAATGACTATGTCAAAATGTACAACTGGTACATCTCGGCACCTATTTGGTCAGAGTAATACTAAAGGAGTTCTAGCTCTTGCAACTTGTTTCCATTTCTTATCATGATTGTTTAGTTTCGGATTCATTCCTTGTAAGCACTATTGTTGCATGTTATCTTTTAGCTCGGCGACGTTATCAAGACTTTCATAATGTGCTTTTGGATGTGTACATTGTGTTGAAATTGAAGTATTGACCATCTTTGGAATTAGTCTTTCTTCAGATTTATTCTGAATCCTCTCTCTCTCTGACTATCTATCTATATACCCACCTACCTGCCTATCTATCTAGTTGTCTATCTCTCTTTTTTTTTTTGTCAAAATCTATCTAGTTGTCTATCTAATTATCTATCTATCTATATATCTCTGTCTCTATCTGTTTTACACACACACACCCACACAGAGCAGTTGGGCTCACATAGGCTGCCTCCTTTACTTTATCTATCTGGTGCTTGTCTTATGCCTGCAGTGAGATAGTTCTCATTTTGACACTTCATGGATGACAATGTGTGGTTGGGCAAGGTGTTCAGTGCCATTTACTTTCAACTGTACTATTCTGGAAGCATGTGCTTTTGCGGTGGCATCTTCTTTAGAAAATTATCATGTGTGAACAATTCTACTTTGATTGAAATTTATCTGCTGAAAAACAAACTGATGCTTGGAAGGTAATTGGTCTGGCTCACATGAGTTTCATTGTCTTTGCTGGTTTTTAATCTCTGTAGGTCTTCAGATGATGGGACTTGCAGGATCTGGGATGCAAGATCCTCAGATTGTAGTCCACGTGTTTACTTGCCAACGCCATTGGAAGTTGTTTCTGGTTAGAAGACTACTTTTTTATTTCTTAGTTGTATTTTCTATGCCAATTGGTTGCCAGAGTGTTCATTGTCCTAAGAATTGATGCAGGGAAGACAAGCAGCCTCCCTTTGGCTAATGTGCCTTCCTCAAGTAATGTATCCCAGTGCCATCAAATCTTATGCTGTGCCTACAATGCGAATGGAACTGTCTTTGTCACTGGAAGCTCTGATACTCATGCTAGGGTACAAAGATAAAAGAGGCTTATGTATTCTATGCTTTCATGTAGCCAGATTAAGTAAATAGAAACTGTCTAGTTTGGCTTCAGTAGTTGTGAAACTTGGGAATAAATCTAGTTGAAGAGAAGTCAGGAAACGCAACATGTAAATCTTGCAATTCTAGGCAATGTTTTACTGGAATTTTGAAGCCCAAATCTGAAGAGAAAATGCATGCGCTTTGTATTCTGGTGCATTGGGCCAGCCATCCAGCTGGTTCCTTAATCCTTGGTCAAAATGGCTGGAATACCTCTAATGCCCTGCTTTAAGAACACTTCATGTAAAATCACCCATCGTAGATGCCTTTCAGGAAATTTAAAGCAACTGTATGTGTTGGATACCTATATGTGCATGTTTACTTGTTTCTTTTTAGATAGATGCTAACCTACATGTGAAACATTGTACTTGTCTAGTCTAATGCTCAACAAGACTTTGATATTCCATATTTATTGAACAGCTAAAAATTTGTTCTCCATATTTTTTAAAGTTCTATTTGAGTATTTAAGATGTGGAACTCATCTGCGTTGACAATAATTTGTACACCTGTTACGGGCACTTAAGAAGAGTGAATTTTTCAAAAATACCAGACACATAATAAAAATCTATGTGCATTTTGGACTGTTGTTTTACATGATCATGTAGTCTTTATCAGTAAGCAGAGAATTCCAATGGATGTATTTGGATTGAAGTGCCCTAATACATGGCTGTTTCTAGGTGTGGAGTGCTTGTAAATCCAATTCAGATGATCCAGAGCAACCTAGTCATGAGATTGATTTGCTAGCTGGCCATGAGAATGATGTCAACTATGTGCAATTCAGGTTAGTAGTAGTTGTTTTCTCTCATAGGAAAGACATTCTGTCATACCCAAAAAAAAAAAAAAAAAAAAAAACTCTGGGTCTCACTGGCTGGTTTATGTGCAGTAGCTGTGCTGTTGCTTCCAGGTCTTCGGCATCTGATTTTTCAACTGAGGAGAACATTCCAAAATTTAAAAATTCTTGGTCTGTGATTACTTGTAATCTCAGATTTCCTTCCTTTACAGTATGCATTCTTATGGAAGCTGTTTTGCTTATTTATTTCTTTCATCTGCAAATATATGTGCTACGCACATTCTAAATCATCAGGTTTAGTCACGACAACATTGTTACCTGCTCCCGTGATGGCAGTGCTATTATTTGGACCCCTAAATCACGCAGATCTCAGGTCACTCCTACTATGACTGAAAGTTTGATGACATTTGGTGCAAGTCTTCAATTTTAGCTTCCCCTACCTCTTTCCATATATGCATGTGTGTGTGTATACATACATATATATATATGTATGTTTGTGTGTATGTATGTATAAGTGTGTGTGTGCATGTATGTGTGGACATATATATACACACACATATGTATACATACATACATACGTATGTATGTATGTATCTATATTGTTGTGGACTGCATTGTGTTTGGTTAATCTTAACTGTTTTGTCAATAACAACTACATCTTGCTGGAATTTATTCAAATTACCACTGGAATCTCTGACATTTGAGAAATTACATTCAGATTATCAATGAACCTGTAGGGATGTACAATGCTTCTCTGACACTTAGAAGTATCTTTAAAAGTGCTCTTTGACATTTTTATTAACTTAGGTTGGTTATTCAGCATAGACGTGGTTTCTGAGAAATCTTAAGTTGGAGCTCTTAAATGTGAGAAGCACTACACCAAAAGCCAATGTGCTTCTAAATGGACACATAATAATCATACAATAAAACATCTTATACTGTTATGAAAACATTTTATTAATCTGATGAAAGTTAAAAAGTTCCAGAAAGATTCATATAGGCGCCCATGATCTCAGTGGATGTCATTGTATAATTATCACGGTAGAGAAATTTCTGAACTAGAAAAAGCAAAATCTTGGAATATCACATTCATTATGAAGAAATGTTTGACCGTGTACGTTTGCTACAAGTCACCATTTTTACCCTCTTCCTGAGTTCCTTATTGTCTTCTTCTTTTTCTGTAAAGTCTTTGCACCCACAAACTTGCATGGCTACCCAAACACTGTTGTTTTGTATATGAAACAGAAACACCAAGATTGCACGGGCAACTTATAGCTCCATCTTCTTACTTAAAGAATTCAACTTCACTATTGGTGGTGATTGAGATTGCAAATGAGATTGTCGACACTATGCAAGGATTTAGCAGCAAGGAATAGTTGGGTTTTCTTTATTTATTTATTTTTTGTTGGGGTGGACCCGGGGGGGTGGTTGAGAGGTGTATAAGTGGACTTATTTTGAAGGGGAATTGCGTAACTTGGATGAAGTGGAGACATAGGTATGGTGGATGCTATTTGGAGGCTGCTCTGGTTTTTAAGCTGGGGATGTTGAATGATACTGTATCTTACTCACTTTGAGTTTGAAAGAGGCTTGGAGAAGGGTGGAGGTGGGTGTCAGCAATGGCAATTTTGGGTTTTTTGGGAGGCTGTGGGGAAGTTAGGATGGTGTTGGTTTGTGGTAAGATACAACAACAGTTTAGAGTTGCTATTTTGGGTGTTCTTTGTTTTGTGGCTGATATCAGGACAGGGGCTTTAGCTTGGTGAGGCTTTGGAGAAAACGACCCTCTGCCAGTTTCATTTAGTTCCTTTGACTATTTGTCACTCCTACAAGTCATCCATAATTTTTCTTTGTTTTCTGTTTCTAACAACAGTACTAGTATTGTTCAGCTATCCATGCATGTCATTGTAGCATGATTAGGTCAAAAGGCAGGTATAACTAATTGTGATATTTGATGCTTTGACCACTGATGACTTTTCTTATTTTTCAATCATGATTTGCAACTTTAGGGTAAAGTGGGACGTTGGATACGAGCATACCATCTAAAAGTTCCTCCTCCACCGATGCCCCCTCAGCCTCCCCGAGGAGGTCCACGCCAGAGATTTCTTCCAACTCCTCGTGGTGTTAATATGATAGTGTGGAGCCTGGATAATCGCTTTGTGCTGGCTGCTATTATGGGTATGCTTTGTATATTTTTGTGTGTATCTTTGTTTGCATGCATTTCCTTTTCTTTTGGGCGGTTAATTGCTGTAGTTATTATGTGCTTATACTTCTTCTGCATAATAATTTGTACTCTCTGTGCAATTATGAGTTAGACTATTATGTTCTCTTTATGATTGTGATAGTGGGAGTGAAAGACTATGACGATCTTAGGCCACTCGCTTCTATCTTGTGTCCCATGAGATTAAAGTCTTTCATGTGCCTAATTTACCAGTGCATTTCAATTGGGATGAATAATGGTTCAAATGGAACAGTAGTTAAGAAAGCGATCTTCTAGTCACATTAGCCTTTCTTTGGATTAGGGCAAGCTTTGTTGGAGAAATTTTATGATGCTCCATTCAGAACCAGGAATTCCTAGCTTTATAACTCGAATTATACCTTAATTCAATTATGTAGTGGCAGGAGTCTCTTGTTTCTTATGCATCGGAGTATCATTCTGTCACTATTGAGCCACCCTATGTGTAGTTTCATATTTTGTAGTTCTTTTTTTTTTTTTTTTTTGCTTTTTTAAATTTTTTTCATCTGTGAGCTTACTTAAGAGTATCTGAATTCAAATATCCTTGACTATAAACTCGTGAAAAGTGATGAATAGCAGCTAGTTTTCCTAGTTAACTTTGCGCAATCCAGGTCATCATGCTAAAGTCTGATAATTATTATAAGCAGAGGAGTTCATTGATGTCTATGCAACTGTTGTGTTAACTGAATTCTGTACATTGATTTGTTGTTCATTGAAACTGGTGGCCAGAATGTCCAGTCTTAAGGAATTCTGTTTAAACTTGGCTATCTAGAATTTCTTTCATTCATTAAACTACATCTATCATTCACTGAGATGAACGCATTTGAGAATGTTGTGGTGAAACTCTGGGATAAGTATATGTTTGTGGTGTATTTCTTCATCCAACAAAATAAGGATCTTGTCATTTTGTTTCCTTCCTAGCATTTTTCTATTAGCAATGTGATGATTGGCTTTTGGAAAGATATTCATGAGTTTAATTTGACGTACAACATGGTCAAAGTTGTACGAAACCTGCATTTACTTTATGCAAGTTGACCCCTAAAATGAGAATTGTTGCCTACCCTTGAGAAGTTTTGGTCTAGATGATGATTGGTTATAATAATAACCTTCTTTTCTTTCCAAAATTTTTCTTTTTTTTTCAAAATTTTGTTTTTTTTTTTTTTGTGTTTGGGGGGGGGGGGTCCAGATTACTATCTGGTGTATATCAATATTCCCCCTCTTCCCATGAGAAGTTTGTTCTTGTACGTCTGATTGCTTGTCATTTACTTCTTCTTTTGATTGACTCCCCACATTTCTGTATCGGTCTATCTTAAAATCTGAAATCTTAGTTCTGGTTTCAACTTTATAAAAGTTGGAGTGATCCCACTATTCTATCTACCTTCTAAATGTTAGGAATTACAGCCTTTCCTGGTAGGCAGTAGACTGTCAACTTGCACCTAGAACTTCATGCTAAGGCAAGTGGCCCATTCAAAGACTATTCAGATAAGAAAAATCTCAGAGTGAGGAAAAGAATGTATGCAAGTTCTTTGTCTTTCATCTTTAGACAAATTTTGCTTGTCAGTGTTTTTTTTTTTTGGTAAAAAATTGTCAGTTTAGTCACGTATCTAGTTCCTTTACCATTGTGGATTTGCAGCCTTTGGAAACTTTTCTGGCATTTACATTGCTATGTTCCTAATGTAGCAATTACTGCTTGTTTAATTATTTGCACTATGCTGTGCAATCATACCTTATTCTTATTCATTCTGGATCTTTAAGTTTGTGATTTGGAAATTTATGGTCCTATGCAGATAATAGAATATGCGTTTGGAATGCTAGTGATGGTAGCTTGGTACATTCCTTGACTGGTCACACGGCATCTGTAAGTGGACCCTAAACTTTATGAAGCTGAGTTACAGTTATCCCTCAAATTTTGTCAAGTGCAGATTATTTGGAAAAAGCAAGTTAGTACCACAACAAAATGCGTCCAAAACTTGCAATAAGATGCATTGTGGCTTAAATGAGAAGCGAAGTAGACAACTGTACTATTCCAATGCAATATTGCCATGTGCATCCTTCATGATAACACTTGTTTGAGTAATTGCCATCTCAGAGGGTCAAAAACATATGCCGAAGAGAAAAGATGCTTACATGACAGCAGCTGCTGGACTTGATACTAAATTCGTGCTTTATCTCTGTATCTTTTGCAGACTTATGTTCTGGATGTTCATCCCTTCAATCCCAGAATTGCAATGAGCGCTGGGTATGATGGAAAAACTATTGTTTGGGATGTAAGTCTCCACCCCCTCTCTCTCTCTCTCTCTCTCTCCATGCTATCTCTTTGAAGTTCCCACTACCGTACTATGAATGACTTCTTTCTTATTGATACCTCTTTCATGCTCTTTTCAGATATGGGAAGGCATTCCTATTTGGACATATGAGATTGGACGTTTTAAATTGGTTGATGGGAAGTTTTCACAGTAAGTTATTGTGAATGACCTTGCATTTATCTCTTTATGTTTAATTCATTAAAACTGTATCTTTGGTTTTAGTGTTTTTCTGTTACTAAATGATGATAAACAGAAAATATAATTCCTTTTAAACATCCGATTTGTGCGATAACCATTGGCATTCCTTGTTCCTTTCTCAACATTTAAGAAAACTTGGTATACTGCACAGTTTCTTCTGCCATGCTAGTTAGCTAGATAGGCATCTGTAGTTCTGCTAACTTAAATTTGCAGTGCTTTGGCTTCTAGTAAGACATGTTTTTCCTTTGTAACTTAGAGATGGAACATCGATTGTACTCTCAGACGATGTTGGACAGATATATTTGCTAAACACAGGCCAAGGTGAAGCGCAGAAGGATGCTAAGTATGATCAGGTAGGTATTTGAAGTGCAGTCGTTTCTTCAGTGATGACTCAAGACATGAACAACTTCTATGTGATGGTTCTCACTGTAATCTGTCTAACAGTTCTTCCTTGGAGATTACCGCCCTCTTGTCCAGGATACTCATGGCAATACTCTTGATCAGGTTTATTGACTTTTGGCATAGATTTTGTGTAAAAGCAATGCTAAGTGCATGTTGGCATTATATTCTGTTAGTTTTATATATAACTTAATACCAGATGTATGTTTTACCTCATGCAGGAGACACAAGTTGTTCTGTATAATAGGAATATCCAGGACCCTCTTTGTGACTCAAGTATGTTGTGGTTTATTATCTCTATGGCTTTCCTTGGAAATTTGATCTTCTGGTGTGGGCATGAACTTTCTTTGATTGGGATGGTCAGGCTTGATTCCTTATCCAGAACCTTACCAGAGTGCATACCAGCGTCGTCGACTAGGTGCACTGAATATTGAGTGGTGTCCTTCATCTTCTAAACTTGCTGTTGGTCCAGATATTGGTTTGGGGCAAGAGTACCAAGTTTTACCTTTGGCTGACTTGGACTTGGTGGTTGAGCCAGTGCCTGAGTTTGCGGATATGATGTATTTGGAACCAGAAAATGATGTCATACACAATGAGACGGACTCAGAATACTACATTACTGATGAATATACTAGTGAAGATGAGGAGGAGCATTCAAGTGACAATTCATCTAGTGATCCAGAATCTAGTGAAGAAAATATAGTGGGAAGGAGTCAGAAAGATGGTCTTCGCAGATCAATAAGGAAAAAATCCTTGTCAGAAGTAAGATACAATTTTCAGAAATCAGTTGCTATTCTTTTGTACTGGCTACATAATAATCTTGCTTTAATTTCAGGTTGAGCCAATGTCTACATCTGGGAGGCATGTAAAGAAGAGGATTTTGCACGGGAATGATGTCCCCTTGTCTAAGAGTAAAAGAACAAAGAGGTCAAGAAGTGGCCGAAAATATACTTCAAAGAGGAAATCTGCGGAAGTGAAATTAACGAGGTCACAACGTTTAGCGGCAAGGAATGCAATTAATGGTTTTTCACATATTTCTGAAATTTCTACTGATGGAGAAGAGGATGAGAGCCCAGAAGGTGATTCATCAGGAAACAATTCATCGTTCCTCAGTACAAACATCAAGACCCAGCAACCTGTTGACTATCTGCTCAATGAGAAGAGGTATTTGGCTGGGGATCAAGGATCTTTAAATGAGTCCGAGGCTGCAGTCACGTGCCCTCGAACAAATGTGGGAAACAAGAAAAAGTTGGTTTTGAAGCTCACCCTTCACAACTCTAAGAAATCTTTGCCGCCAGAACATATCAGAAGCCAAAGTGCTGACCATACTGTCACAGCATCATATCCTTCAAAAGATTCAGGTTCTTCTTACACTGGGGTAACTAAACTTCTGGAAGGTAAAGAACTTGAAAACATTGAGGAGGACTTGACGACGATTGCAGGTTGTGAGCAAACCAAAGTTCATTTGGGGGAGGCGAAAGTTCAGTCAACAAACTGGATGCGTTCAGCTCATCCAGTGCCTGCAGATTTATGCTATGGTAGCAAATTGAGTTCCAATTGCCACTCTGAGACCTGTAGCATCAAACATTGTATCAAACCTGAGGATGACTGCAGCAATTTTCGAACTGGTTTGGAAATTGTAAACCATAAGCCGTTAAGTAAGGCTTACAATGAGAAGCAAGAGCGTGAGGCTAGTGTATCAGAGGATGCAGATGGTGTAAAAGTTAGTGACCAAAATCTTGGGAAAGGAGGAGAGAACATTTCTGATACTTATCCATGTAGAAATTGTGATTTGGTTGATGGCAAAAACCACTCCGGTGGTTTAAATGAAATCCAAAAACCAAAGCCAACTATCCTAAAGATTAAATCAAAGAAGATATCTGGACATTCCTTTCCTATGGAGCAGAATAATCTTCCCAGTATGCCAGAAGACTATAAAACTGCATTATACGAAGGTACTTGTGCCAGTATCTATAAGGGAGATGAATTTCCTGATATTGCTACTGATGAAATGCGTAGGAAAAGATCCTTGAGGTTGAAGGCAACGACAAGGGAGACAGGTGTTCTTAAGCAGAAAAGCATTGAGAAGCCATCTGGAGGAGCACTTAACCATCTTCCTTCGAGAGGGATGCCAATGTCAAAACAGACCAGCAACCATGGGTCTACTAGAAACAAAGGAGAAGGCTACAATAATGAAGACAGAAGTGCACTACATGCTTTACAGCAAAAATCAAATTGGTTGTTGTTGTCGGAGCAGGAGGAAGGGTATCGTTACATCCCTCAACTTGGTGATGAAGTAATGTACTTAAGACAGGTATATAGTTTTCACGTGCTAGAAATCTGATGCTTTAGTATCACTATCAAGTTAGTGAACTATTTTTCCTGTGTTTCTTTCTTTGTAGCAAATTAGCAGTTCAGATGATTTTATAGTTGATTGTTCTTTGATTTTTAGGGTCATCAAGAATATATGAAGTCTGTTAACTCATTAGAACAACCCCCTTGGACGAGGTACGGAGGAAATATTAGATCTGTTGAAGTTTGTTTGGTTGAAGAACTGGATTACTCAACAATTGCAGGTTCTGGGGAGAGTGGTTGTAGAATTACTCTTAAATTTATAGACACTTCATCAGAAGTGAATGGACATAAATTTAAACTCAACCTGCCTGAACTGATTGATTTTCCTGATTTTGTTGTCGAAAGAACATGGTATGAAGCCTCTATGAATAGAAACTGGACCTGTAGAGATAAATGTTTGGTTTGGTGGAGGGATGAGAGTGAGGAAGGTGGTAGTTGGTGGGATGGTCGAATAATTTCCATTAAAGACAAGTCTTTGGAGTTTCCTGACAGTCCATGGGAGAGATATGTTATTAAATACAAGAGTGCTTCAGAAGATTTGCATCTTCATTGTCCCTGGGAGATGCATGATCCATCCAGTCAGTGTGAGCATCCCTGTATTGATCCTGAAGTAAGAAACAAAATGCTGGCGTCTGTAAATAGATTACTGCAATCTGCAAGCAGAAATCAGGTTTTCATCTTTCCTTGGTGATTAATTCTCCTTGGTTATATATAAATGCTGCAGTTTGATATTTTTACGTTGACTGAGCCTTTGTATTTTCAAATGTTTGGTTTGGTTCTTTCAAAAAAAGTTTGGTTTGGTTTACAGTACAAGGGTCTTATTGTCACTTTATTCTTTCAGGATCAATATGGGATTCTAAAGTTGGATGAAGTTTCTCAGAAGGATGACTTTATAAACAAGTAATACTTATTTGGCTTTCCATTTTCTTTTGCTGCAAGTCATCTTTCTTCTACCTTTTGATGGTACCATGAGAGACAAAAATTAGTAACATGCTTATGCCTCGAAGATGGATGTGTTCTAGTAAGCTTGATAAATGGTCGAATGAAAGGTCATGCATGGTCTTTGTCTCCCTGGCCTGACTTGTTTAACTTTTCTTTTACTAAAAGTGGAGTGGTCTAAGGAAGAGAACTAGAGAAGTGGTGGAAATGGGACAAATTGGCACATCTACTGTTTAATAGGCGTCTGACTTGGTAACTAGCACACATAAGATTGTAGTTCTTAGCAGTGTGTTTAATTTAGGCCATGACATATCTGGTGGGTCAAATCGACAGATCAAGTGCGCGTTTAGACAAAATGGACATACGTTTCTTAAAATTCTGATTTTGACTTTTGAGACCAACAGTCCAAGTTAACAGATTTAAGGCGGCCTTTTTGGACATGTTAAAGATAAGGGGGAAAAAATATAGCCTGATTGAATATACATGATGACCCCACCTTATTTAATGGATGACCAAGTTTAGCATGCGCTTTAGTCATTGATGTATAAAGTAGAGAAGGAAAAAGAATCCGTGGATGGATTGGAAATTTATAATTTCTGCGGGTTGTATCTGCTGCAGGTTTCCTGTTCCATTATCACCTGACATAATCAAGTTAAGGTTAGAAAACAACTACTACAGGACCTTGGATTCTTTGAAGCATGATATCAGGGTGATGTTAACGAATGGTCAGAGTTACTTTGCGAGAAGCAAGGAGCTTTCGGCCAAGATGTGCCGGTTGTCTGATTGGTTTCACAAGAAATTCTTAAAGATATGATGTCCCCCTTTATTTTTATTTCTCTCTCTTTTTTTCAACTTCTATATTCTGGCCACGTAATTAATCCAATTTTTATCCAGTGAATCTTTTTTCCCTCTGCTGTGGGAATTGTAAGAAGGAAAAGCTTGAAATTGTTAGTATGACATTTGGGCGCAAATTTGGATTGTGAGAATCTCTCTCTCTCTCTGTCTCACTCGATTTTTAGCAATAGGTCATTATGTTACCGGAGCAAAAGATGAGTAGGCTGGCTGCGCATCGTACGAGAATTCTTGTTTCTGGGCTTTGGCAGACATTTGCTCTATAAATTATTTTTGCATGTACAATAATTTTGGTGACGAGAGAAGTTTTGTGCTGGTAAAATTACGTTGATAATATATTGGAGTTGATGCTCAAGCACATAATTGGGATACGCGCGCATGCTTTTGTCTTCTTTTCCTTGATCAACTCATGCGGCTAAACTAATTGCTTGTGCTCGATGGCTTTAACCAACTTCTCTGCCTACAAATCTTCAAGATGAATGCCATAGTTTAAAATAAATTGAACGTCTGTTGATTTTATATTTATATTATAGTCTCTTTCAAACTCCCAAGAGAAAGAAACAATTTGGACCCTGAGGAGTAAAAAGGGGAAAAAAACATACAAGGAGTGGGAGAAAGTGCCAACAACATCTTGGAATTTAAATTTGGGATAATTTTAAGTACCTTCCTTGAGTTTTTTGACAATTACTAAAATCTCTTCAAGAGTTTTGAAAATTATACCTACCTCCCTTGTTTTCATTGTTTAAGCAACATTTTAGGCCTAAAAAGTTAGACTTTTCTCAAAAATTCTATAATGCACAAGGGTTATAATTCACAACAAAATTAAAAGGAAAAAAATGGTTCATTGTCTCTATTTCATTCATTTTTACATGGAATCAGCATTGCCTATTCATCAAAATTTAAATCACCGCTAAATAAATACTTAATTTTGTTCTAATGGCCCTTTTTATCTAAAAATTTTTGGTGTAGACTATTGTATCAACTACAAATGCTGTATCAAATATCCAAAAGTTTACCTACAATGTTATATCACTCTCAAAATTTGCTTAATACACAGCAATATTCATTAATATCCCTTGTTTTCAATCGCAGTTTGCTGCCTTTTGAATACAAAATAGTCTAAATCATCATTATTAATATCAGCATCCAATATGCTCCATCTGCACGGAGTTCAAAATCAGTTAAATTCTTTTTATAAGAATAACATCACCAATCATTACAAATCAAAAATATAAACAAAATGCAATTATAAATATTTCAGGAACTTTTTTTTTGTTTCATAACAACCACAATATTATACTATTTATTTAGTTCTTATTTCACTTTTTATCCTTAATTTTTTATTTTTTATCATTGCTACTGTCTTCATCCTCATCTAGTTTGATAATGAAATTATCACTCAAGTTGTCATTTAACAATTTCAATTTGTTAGTGCCTATAAAAAATTGAAAACAAAAATGGGCACTAAGAAACTATTTAATAATAATGAAAAGAGATAATTGAGAATAGACACCAAGATAGGTAGGCACTGATTGTTGGCATGTATTATGGTTTTGTTAGTGATGGCAATACACACAAAATAAATACACAAGTTTAGAATGAAAACAGATGTAGGAGGAAGAAAATAAAAGAATTAAATGGGAAAGACTATAGTTTGAGTTATTGATTGACAATAAATAAGAAAACTTTAATTTTTCATAGAGTTTTTCAATGAGTTGATAATTAATGAAAGATATTGTTGTTTTTTTATTACATCAATGGAGGTCCTCACAATTATGTAAACCTCAGAGAAGTTGAGTGAATTGTTGAAAATCTCAAGGGGGTTTATGAAATTATCTCTTTAAAATTTACTACTACTAGTAGATGAATTTCTTTTCCGCTATAAAGGTTGATTGATTTTTTCCTAATAATTGCGTGCGCACAGGAGCTGCTCACAGTCCGCACAATTTTGGGGCCGGGCGACATATTGTAAAACTAACCACTGGCCAATGGCTCAGTGGCTATCAGGGAGGGGTTTAAGTCCCTACAAGTCGTCAGTAGCGAAAAAAAATATAGGATTGTGTCAGAGTATTATTTTAATCTAGTTGGGTTTGTATATCCACTAACTTCCTACCATAGCGTCCTTAGGCTCCCTCTCTCCCTAGATTAGGTTATACAAATGTATCGTTGCTAAAAAAAAAGAAAAAAGAAGACAATATGTCTAAAACTTATTATTGTAAAACTGGCCCGGCTCCAATCCTTGATTCCCGCCAAAGCTCCGTAAATTCCCGCCCATGCCTTCCCTTCTTCGTATCGTCCGTGCCCGGCCTCCTCTCATTCTCCTCCCCCAAACAGCCACAACACTGACAAGACATTCATTCCTCTGTCCTCCTCCCTGCTGCTGCTGCTGCTGCTGCTGCTATTGAGCAACTACTCCTAAAGTTACTTCTCCTAAGTCGATCAAAAAATGGCGCCTTCTGGTCGTCGGACGAGCAATGGCCGATCACCGCTTGTCAATCAACAGCAGCAGATCACCTCTTTCTTCTCCAAGAAGACATCATCGTCGTCATCCCCATCACCAACTGCTCCCCCCTTATTTTCCACCCCCAAGCTCACCACTAAGAAACCTAGCCCTACCACTGATTGTAGCCCCAGCTCCAGCCCGTTCACTCCTTCACCTCTCGAAACCAGACCAAAGAAACCGTTACTAGTCATCCGCCCTTCCTCACCTTCTGCTTCGGCTTCTCCCATGAAATCCTACGGACCTGAGGTTGTCGATAAAAGAATTAGGGTTTACTGGCCGTTGGACCAGTCGTGGTACCATGGCTGCGTCAAACATTTCGATGAAATCTCTGGTAAGCATTTGGTTCTCTATGATGATGCGGATGAGGAATTATTGAACCTCGCCGAGGAAAAGATTGAGTGGCCGGTTGGGGAGGTACCTGTCAGGGGGAGGTTCCGCCGTTTGCGACGGATTTCAATTGTGGAAGATGATGAGGAGAACGACTGTGTGGAGAAGGAGAGCGGTGGCAATGATGATGAGGAGTCGGGATGGAATGCTGCGGAAAGAGAGGTGGTCGAGGATGTTCCCGTGGGCATGGAATTGGAGGAGGATTATGATGGAGTGTGTAGTGGAAAAATAACTAGTGGAAGAAGCAGTAAGCGTAAGATGGGTGGGGCGGCGAAGCTGGGTGCTAATTCTTCTAAGAAGATAAAGAATGTTGGAGATACCGAGCAAATTGACAGCAAGATTTCTTGTCATGTCAAGGGTGAAAATTTGATTGAACCTGCTGGGAACAATGTAATTAGTAAGTCAATACAGCTTTCAGTTTCTTCTTTCTTTACTCCGTTGGTTTATCCTTTTTCTCCAGTCGCTAATACTTATTGTAAATTAGGCAATCTGATTTGCCGCTAGTTCTTTTTGTGTCCTTTTGAATGATGTACTAGTGTTCGTCATCCAGTTCTAGATTTTCACTTAATTTGTTATAAATGCTTCTTATAAATGCTTAGAAATGGTACTTCACCCTTTTCTTATGCATAAAGCTCCAGGCTGTAGCATGTCCGCTTCTTAGGCATCACTGCTATGGCTGTTTCTTTTTTTTTTTCACCCTTATGGTTTTCGTGCTTGAGGTTTAACCAGCTATTCCAGCATTTTATCCAGTAGTTTTTGACTTAAGAATTATTGTCTTGTTCCACTAAAATGTGAATTGGTCACTAGAATCAAATAATTATTTTATGCTGAGAACTTGTTGGAGGTATGTAATAAAAAATTAATAAAAAAATATAACTATTAAAGAAAAGGAAAGTAAGAAGGTCCTCTGGTTATCCAAGTATGTGATTACGTTATCTCTGTTCTTGTTTTATTATTTCCCGTTGAAGTGCATCAACTGCCTGCAACTTTATATTTGGCTGTTGCAGGTGAGAAGGGTATTGATAGTTGTAGAACTTCAATAGATGTTGCCGAAGAAAGATTTGGTGCACGCGAAGCAGGAAAGCTGTGGTTCTTGGGGAAGTAAGTTCTGGTTTGAGTTTTCCAGCCAACATCTTTGTGCATAATATGAGTACGGAAACCAGTTTTTTTTTTTTCAAATGGTATAAAAAGGGGAAATTTACTAAACTTTTGGCACCTTTAATTGGCCACTATCACTGGTGGACCCACATGCTATTAAGTGGGTTTTTTTTTTGGGGAGAAGGGGGGGGGGAAGGATTGCCCTCCACTTAATTTTGAGAAAATGAGTTATTAAGCTTAGAAAAATTTATCGTAAAATTTTAAAGTTAGCTTCTTATTTGCCCACACTAAAATTTTACAAATTATCTTTTCCGTCTACATTGACCCCCCAAAAAATTAAAATTCATAATTGTTACCATTCACTAGAACTTTAGATGTACTTAAAGTTAATTGTGGAGGTTATTTCAAGAATAAATTCTTTCGAAGTTTCTAAATGTAAATATACAGAATGATTTTCACTTCTAAATTTAAGCACAATATGACTTCAAAACGTATTAAACTTACAAAGATATTACAATATAAACTTCAAAGCGTATTAAACTTAGAAAAGAGAATTTGTGTTTCACATAAATATCCATTAGTTTTAACTATACTATTTTTTGATTTCATGTGTTGTCGAAGATTGACCACCCTCACCCTAGGGTCTTGGCTCCGCCACTGGCCACTCTAGTTTACGTGGATTTAGTTTCTTTTGCTTACGAAAATTTGATGGTAATCAAGCATCTTTCTTTGCATCAACAGGGACCGTAGGGATGCCAATAGACGACGTCCTGGACATGTGGATTATGATCCAAAAACTTTGTACTTGCCGCCAGAGTTTTTAAAACGTTTATCAGATGGCCAGGTAATTCTTTTTTTTTTTTTTCTGGTTATTTGTTATGTGTTTGAGGTTACTTATCAGCTTTGAGAAAGTTAGTGTTGACTTTTTAATTTTTAGAGACAATGGTGGGACTTTAAGTCAAAGCACATGGACAAGGTTATGTTTTTCAAGGTATTTGTTTGGTTCAAAGATTGTCATTTTCTTAACTTTTTAGTCGATCATCTTACTCTATTTCCTAAAGCTGACAATATGACTTACTTGCTGATAAATCAGATGGGCAAATTTTATGAACTCTTTGAAATGGACGCACATGTTGGTGCCAAAGAGCTGGATTTGCAATACATGAAGGTAGTTATCGATGAAGGAAAGATGTAAAATACTTAATGGAAGTGCATTTTCATGAAGCCTTCTTTCGTCTTAAGAGGGATTAGTTAATAGACAATGTTGATTATTCATCATTCTTTATGCATTTTGTAGTATGAAATTTTTAGCAGCTTTTTGTCACAAAATTTTTGTAATTTGTGCCGAGGTTTATGTTATCTGTTTCCCTTG